GCATGCAGAGCAGGGACCTGCACACATGTGGGGACAGGAGACCACGCCATGCACCTGGCAGACCTTGGTTATCACCCTGACTTAGGAGGATATTTCAAACTGCTAAAAACGCTGAGTGCTCAGCAGAACAGATAATTATTTTCAGTATTTTGCAAAACTAGAATGGACCAACTAACCCCCAAAAATGTCATCAAGTGCTTGAAGGTCAGTGAACCTGCTAATAAAGTTGCTCACTAAGTGTTGAATTTTCACTGAGACACATTTGTCAGACACCATAAAAAGACCAAGACCTTCAACTCATGACAACTGCAGAAAACCATCGGAGGTAATAGCTGTATCTATTCTGGTGACATCTGAGGTCAGGCTTATTTTCTCACATTTCTATTATTTAAGCATGAGCCTCATCATGAAGAATCAATCTTTATTTTGAGATCATAGAAGCATTTTCTATTTGTCAAGCGTTGCAGGAGCCCTGCTGATCAATTGCAATAAAACAATCAACTCCTGACGTGCCTTCGGTGCACGGCAACGCCAGGAATCCACAAAGGCAGGCTGCACGAACTGCTAAGCAGCAAATTGAATGCAATAAACTATCATTTTCCTGAATACCTTCCCAAAATCAAAACATAAAGTACACACACTTCAGGTTCAGTGCCTCTGATGGTTCCTACAACAAACCAGCGAACCACAAAGGTGAGAAGAGATGATTGCCTTGCCCCAGAGGCTTTCTCTGCTGCACCCCACATATTATTTTGATGGCCAGTGTTCTCCTTCCCCTAAAGCTGGGGTGTTGCTCTGTGCTGCAGCACTGACAGGGCAGGGGCAGGAGACAGAAGGGAGGACTGAATGGGATTTGTTTCATCCATTTTGAAGAAAGCAGATGTTGATTCATTGACAAAAATGGTTTTTGCAGAAACACACTGGCTTTGACTGAACTTTTCACAGATGCCATTTCCCAGGGTCAAGTCATAACTTCCAGCCAAAGTCAGAGAACAATTTGAGGAGAGCTGAAACCAGAGGTTTCTGTGTCCCATGAGGGCTCTCTAGCCACTCAACCAATCTCCTTCCCTAGGTCTGAACAAAAGCAATTCTGCAAAAAGAGAGAACATGAGACACTTGCCCTGGAAGAACAAGTAATGCAGAGGAAACCATTCAATGGACAGGAGCCCCAGGTGTTCATTTGCTCTTGATTTATGCGTAGTAGGGAGTCAGATCTCTGCTCCTTGAATCTGTCCACTGGTTTTTGTTTTGTTTTGTTTTTTAATTATTGAGTAGCAACTTTTCGTATCATTCTCCTCCCACCAAACTTTGAAAGACCCAAACTGGACTGGCATGGTGAGCAGGGATGGTGGCTCAAAAACCCCTGGAAAATCTGGTTTGGTTACTTTCTGGCGCTGGCCTTGATGGAGGCCTCTCACATACAGGGCAAGAGACTGCAAACTACAACAAACGCTTCCACTTGTGACTCCAGTTTCCATATTACCAAACACAGTTACAGCCTCCCTACAGAAACAGCAGGCATCGTGGCACACCACAAGTAATGCAATACCTTGGGATAATGCAGGAAACCTCAGTTTAGGGCTCAGTTTCTATCCAAGCTGTCATAGGTTTAAGGTGATAGAAGAAAAATCGTATTTGTACGTTAGCCTACGTCATCACTGCAGACTGTGATTTGTAACATTCTGAGTAGAAGATTTTATTTAAAGGTAACACTTGAGTGAAAGGGCCTAGAATTGCAGTTCCCATTTGTCTGTCTGACTCTTGTTGACCATGGAGAAAACAGACACTTGCTACACCACACTGCTAACACAATTTAAATGTTCACCACATAGATGTTATAGATACATGAATTATTTATATTAAACACTGACTTGCTATTATTGCAATATTTACTTTTAATATCAGTATCAGCTAAGTGCACATATCTACCGAATATCTAAACTTCCCTGAAAATACTGTTTTATTTCTATGTCAATCATAACGCTTTGTGTTAGCCATTTCATTTTTAATATTTAATAGACTGAAAATGACAGCCCTGCTTATCGAGACAGTCTATATTAATAAGAAGCATCAGAAATTCCCTCTACAGTCCTTGTCTTGCACTGAGATCTTTTAGCAAAGAAGCTATACCTGTGAAAATGTGGATTATGATGCAGTATCAGAGATGTAATTCCATACCAGTTTCTTACAGAAGCATTAATCCTCTTTGGTGTAGATTAATTTTCAAAAATGAACATGATAAAACCAGGCTGTTCTAAATTTGCCACAGTTTTTAAAGAAGTCAGAATAACAGTCTTTAAAAAAAGGGTTAAAGATGCAACAGCACAAGTATTTTTGCCTGTGATCTCCTGTTGACACCACCAAATCCTTGTAACACGTATTTTTAAAAAGCAAACAAAGCATGCACTTGAGTGTTTCAAAGAAGCAAAGCATTAGTCTTCCAGATTTATTTTTTCTAATATTCAGGTGCTGCGAGTTATTTACTGACATTGCTTTGTACATAAAAAACCTGGGCAGCACACTTCTGCAAAACTCGTAAATGCCATTCATATCCACTAATTAATGTTAAAAAAGATAGGGAATTGTACTGAATAATTTAATAAAAATCATACCAAGTACCCAATCTTCCAATTCTATTACATACAAGTATAGGAATCATTAAATTAGATTTATATTAAAATATTGGCAGAATCAGAAATAAGCCTTAAAACACTTCAAGATATTTCTACAGTTCTTTCACCAGAAGCAAAGCCATTTTTTCCCTGTGTTCAGGCCTTCCTAAGATTATCCAACAGAGGGCTCCCAGTAGCTATTAAAAAGCTTAACTGAGAGCCAAATATACGAACACTAACATATACATACACATTCAGCACACTGTCATTTCAATAACCCGTTCTGTATGCACACATATGTGCACCTACACCCACTTCAGAAATTTGTAAAAGCATTCAGTAAAACCACCCAGGTAGTGCCCTGTCATCATCTGTATGCTGCTGAGGCACGTTAGCTCAGGATTTTTTCTAAAATACTATTTTTAACTGTGGAAAATGAGTGTATTTTTAAATCGCCTTTACACAAATGAAATTACCCTTTCTTAATTTCTTTATTTCTTTACTCTCACTTGAGAAAAATACTAAGAAAATCGTGTGGAGCCAAGTTTGACTGCTACGCGAGTATCAGCCAGCGGAGAGGCATGGGCAGAGACTGAAGCCCGGGTGGGCACTCACGCACACGGAGCACTTACGGACCAACAACCTTCATCTCATCCCGACAAAGATGCAACTGGACCGTTTCAGCAAGAAGATATTTCAAACTAGGTTAATCCTCGTTCTCTTTGTTGAGATGGTTACAAAGCGGGGCTGTACTCCAGTACTTTTGGAGTGGTTAAGTAATCAATGTACTTGGCAGATTGTGCTTTTCTGACCTTTAGACATCTGAGGTTAATAAATTTCTAAGACTTCATCAGTACAGCAGGAAACCTGAGTTTGCTAGGAATCTCAGTTTGTGCTGTTGGTGTTTAGGAAAGACTTCAGCTATCCACTAAACTGCCCTCAGAGACTGTAAGTAAAAGGGTTGTAAACATGCCCTTCACCCAGAGGTCTCCCAGTAACACTATTCCCCTCACCATTTAAAGGCCTTAACTTTAAATACAGGACACTGCAATGCATTGTGGCACATCTTCCCTCAGTAACATATGCTGGATTTCCTGTAGGCTACACATTTCTTCGAAAATTTTATCAAGTGCCATACAGTATCATGTTGGTGTGTCCTGCCCAACCAAAAAAACCTCACAGCATGCTTTCTACTCAAGCCCAATACGATTGCAAGCCAGAGGTATTGTTCTGCAATAAATTAATGTTGGTATTCGATGGTTTTAGTACACTATTCAGCACAGATGGAGATAATATATAAAATATTGTACAAGAAGCTTTTAAAAAAGTTTTTACAGTATTAAAAAGAAATTAACGATCTGTAATTCGGTAAGTTCATCCTGCAGCACCTGCAGATGCGCCCAGAACATTAGCCAACAAGGCATAGTTTTTTACTTCTGAGATTCAATTTATTTTTCATAATAGCTTTTGAGCTTATCTATGATAATACTAATTTTCTTTCCTCCACACTGTTACGTTCAGCTGTGAAAATACATACCTGCACCCTTTTTGCACGTGCCCCAAAAGTAGTCTTACATATCTTCCACTGAATGTCAGTGATTAACTTCTCCAAAACTAGTTCTGCTCTTTTATAAATACAGGGGTTTTGATCCAACTCTTAGGAGGTGAAGTACAAAAGCTATATTCTGCTATGTTACATACCACACAATTAGGTTTGCCTTTCCATTTCTAGTAATCTATTTGGTGCTTTCATTCACTCCTGCAGTGATACTGCATGTGGCCATGTAATGTAAGTGGAGAAAAATGTATGGCATTTCTAACTGTATGATGGCAATGCTAAACTCTAATGAAAACATTTTTAGAAATTTTTGGCACGATACAGAACTACAAGTACCCTGCCCTGACCTGAACTGAGATGGGTTTGATCTCCTCCTCACACATTCACAAGTCCACTTTCAGGCTGGGATGTCCACATGCACACAGGCATTTGAAGATTTAATCCACATTGCGATTTGATGCAATTCTTTAAAAACAGCCCTGCATCAGAGTGGAGGTTTGGATCTGAGCTTCAAGAGCAAATTCAGATTCCAATTTTTGCAGCTGCCCTTGTATTGAGAATACAGCTATTTCTTAAACTAAATTATAAGCGTTTTTGGCATAGAAGTGTTTGAAAACGATCTCCCTTTTCCCTTCAACTGGAGGTGCATGTATACAGGACCCCTGGAAGGAACCTGACCAGTCTGGCATGCAACATTACATAGTATTTTAAAGATTTAAGCTTTTCTCTTTAGGCAGCCATCATTTTACTAATCAAGTCCAAGATGTACATCCAATGTACATCTGGAAACAGCAGTAGTGTTACCACATCAACTCTAAACCGCTACTTACCACAAGTCTCCATCTTCAATGGTCTTATCATTTGGGGCTCCAGCATGGCCATAGTGCAAAACAGATGAGTTCTCCCCACTGAGGAGTGAAAAGAAAATTCAGCACAATTAATGGAAGAAGAAACATTAAAACATGCAACATGAGAATTAACATTGTAAACACGTGACACTGCAAACATCAGTGTATTCATATATTAAGCATGAAATTTTGCAGCCTGTGAGAACTGCCACAGGCTCTGCCGTGGTGTGGGTTGTAATAGCACACCCTGCAGCTTGCTCAGCAAAAATGGGTACAGAACAGGCATTTTGCTATTCTGGCTGCAAGCTGTGACCTTTCTGCAGACAGAACTCAGCACAGTTCATATAAATACTTCCACATCCATGACAGTGCTAAGGAAGCAATTACGCAAGAGTAATTTTTCAACCTATACTCATTTATTATCTCCTGGATTTTTATTTTTTTTTAATTTCTAAGCGATATGTTTCCCCATTTGAGGTTAAATATTCTGGAGCAAAATTCGACATGTTTGAAACACTCTAGGAGTCACTGGGACTGGAAAAATACAGCTGTCCAAGTGAACAGTTCCAGTTCACCTCTGGCATGGCTACACATGATCTCTGCCGGAACAGCTACACTGCATGCTGCTCGAGAAGCATTCGCAGTGTACAGGCATGAGAACTGTCACTCTATTCCTACCTCTTATTAAAAATCACATTGCAAAGAAAAGATTTTTATTCCTGGAAACCTTTCAGACTAAACTGCTGATTCACAGGAATAAAACGTCTCCAGAGAAGGACGGACCCTTGCTCTGTGCTTCTGAAGCTCCATGATCCATTTGGTGACCTATATTTGGTCTTAGTATCCTCTTTTGTCTACTGATACTCTCCCAGGTCTATGAAACAACAGTTAAAAGACTGGGAAAGATCTCTAGCTCTACCTATTTTTCTTTTACTATGCTCCTCAAAGAGATGCTCTCTCTCTTTTTCTTTTCAAAAAGCTAGAAGAATTATATCATAATCAAAAATACACAGAATCACAGAATATGAGGAGTTGTAAGGGACCCGAAAGATCATCCAGTCCAACCTCTGTCAGAGCAGGATCACCAGACCAGGTCACACAGAAAGGCATCCAGGCGGGTTTTGAATGTCTCCAGAGAAGGAGACTTCTTCTCTACATGTCCTACACATGTTAGGACAGGGTCACTGCAGCATCTCCCTGACCCCTCCAGCTGACTTGTCAGCCCATATCTCACCCTTCATCAAAACTATATTGGTCAGCCTGCTCAAATTTGATTCTTTCAAGCTGTGATGGTGGAACTGCTTCATATTTTAGGTGAAAGGAATCTGAGGCTCAATTTCAATGAGTCTTTTGCTGTATCTGGAGCAAATGTGCCATCTGACCTACTTCTCATATTAGACTTCTGATATGTGCAAGTACAAAATCAGTAAACATGCACTGTATCCAAAGAGATTACCTTCAAGACACATTAAGTACTTAATGAGACATTTAATAGATCATTGGTCATTCAGATATAAAACTCCATAAGCAATGATTATGGAGGAGAAAGTAGATGGCGCTTTAAGTTTCTGAAGGCTCTCAATCTAAAGGGCTGGATCATGTTGATATTTTGAAAGGAGTAAGTCTTTATTGTTTTCTTAACATGTAAGAATCACTGTGCAATAAGGCAGGGAAGGAATAATGGGAATGACTTTCTGATACAAAATGTATTTCTTAAAATTCTACACACTCCAAAGGGAAAAATCAAAGTTGTTAAATCCAGAGTTTAAAAACCCCACAGAACTAAGGCTGCAACAAATTTGTTTTGTGATGCTAGTCCAATGGCTTATGCACAGTTTTATAACCAGCTACTACCTGGCTGCTTTTCACTTCCTGGACACTGGACTTGGGAACCTACGCTGTCGGGCAGATAAGTAAAAACAGCCCCATCTTGGGGTCACTGATGCCCATCAAGGTGAAGACAGATGTGAGCTTCTATCTGAGATGTCCTGTCTCATGGGCACTGGTGGAATAGTTCCTTCTGGCCAAAATTCCAGTTCTCCATGCCAGGACACTTTCAAACTTTGTTTGCTTTATCTGAAAACAGGATCTATAACAGGGCAATAGACTGCAATCAAAATAAAAGGGCTTTTCTGTGCTTCCAGCCTCAGCCGTCTCCTTTCATGTACAGGTGATGGCAGCGGAGACAGCTCCTACCCCTGTGCTGGGCTATCAGCCCAACAAGTGGAGGCAGCATCATTTGCTGCCTGAATAACTGTTTCCCAGGTGGAAGGCGACGATTTTGGGTGGGTGGCACTTCGAAGCAACTGGAATGACCTTGGTGCTACGCATGACCCTGTTTGTGAACCCACACGCTTGGTATTTCAGGAAAAGCACAAAAATAATTTAAAAATCCCAACACCTGGCATGCAGGCACACCAACACACACACACATATGCTCCACAGCAGTTTGTCAGGATTTTAGCTGCGGGTACTATTCCTCATGTCCCTCTAAAAATGGGGATAAAGCAGGAGAAGCAAATAGCACATGCTTATATTTATGATCAACTTCTAAAAAATTATCATGAAGCCTAAGGGCATGACTCAGTGCTAATGTATTTGCAGACAGCTTGTTTACTTATCATATGCTGACACCCTCGGCGCCATATACCATACGAGCTGCATAAACCAGTCATATATTCAAATATAAGCACTGCACAAATGCCTTCAACAATAGACACTGCAAATACAAAGATGGGGGATTTCTTTTGCACATTTTAATGTAAAGGTTTTAGTTTACAAAATATTTCTGTAAGGTTTGGCACCAACTGTTAAGGAAGATGCATGAAAAATCTGTTTTTCAGCACCGTTAGTGAAGCGTTAAGCTGCACAAAATCTTTCTTGGCATTTGAGACTCCTTATCTGTCATGCATATCTTGGCTCTGCAGCGTAAACCGGATCGTACCATGGAGAGCACAGTTGGTGCTGAGGACCAGATACGCACACCATATGCATTCCAGGTTTTTTTGCCCGTTAGAAGTGACTGGGGTGAGAGGGCCTTGTTCACCTGGGACAGCTCTGGGCAGGCCCCCTGGGCCAAACATCCATTAGGGGCACAGCAGACCTGCTCCTGAAAGCTCTCCCAGCTGTCTTTCATGCAAAAGAAATCCAGCACATGCACTCCAGGACTGGTCCCCATCTCTGTGTAAAGTCTCATGGCTGGGGACAAGCGGAAGATCAGAAACGCACTGCTGACCCAAATTAAAGTACCAATTAGGACAGACTGCCAGCCCGTTCCTGCCAAGAGGTGCAAGTCCAATCTTCCTCACAGGAAGCCTCTTTACCATCATCCCCAGATGAAGGCAGGAAAGATGCTCTGGGAACAATGCTACAAAATTTATGTACCCACGAGGTAAACGCTACAGCCAGCCAGTTACTGTACATAATGATTCCGTTAGACTTTCAAGGTGGCTTCAAAACAATTTAAACAAAACCTCCAGCCCCTGGCAAGGCAAATGAGCCTTCCCATAGCATCTATTTCTTTTCTTCCCAAGGAGCAACAGTTGAAAGGTCTGGCATTAGAGAGCTAAAGTCAAGGTTTAAAATGAAGTGCTGTGAGGAGGTGCAGATTATAGGCAGCTCCACTGCCTTCCTGGAGGTCAGCACCTCTGCAAACCACCACATGTGGGGATGCTGATATCTGCCTTCAGGCAGCCAACCTGAAAGTTTCTCCAAGAGATTTCTGTGTATCTACTTTTATTCCTTTAATAATTTGCCTCTAACTGGTGCCAGAGATGTGTTTGTTACAGAAAGAATTGCGTAAAGCAGCAGAAAAGCTGCAAATTAACACAACTGAGAATGCAAACAATAAGAAGAAACTCAGAGTACTGGGAAAGGAAAAAAAGCCCCCAACATACATTTTAGATCAGAAAACACCCTGAAAACAAATCATTAGAAGAAAGAGAAAAAGGAAGAATGTCAGCAATGTTTTAAGAACAGGACTAAGCTGAGCATCAAGCATTACAAAAAGTGCAGCTATTAGCTCTACATTAAGAACTAAAGAAATACCGACAGACCATTAACTAAAACAGCAAACTATTTCCATCATTATTTAAATAATAAAATCAATCCAGAAGGAAGCACTAACAGCCTTGCCTTCACTTTTTCACTTAAGAGATGAAATCTTGAAAAGTTGTATTGAAAAGAACAAAATAAAAACAGATTCAACAAGGATCCTAATCTTATCCAAAAAGCTTTACTTATGGTGATCCTCAGAGGAAGGCATTTTACTGCACTATGTTATTCTTAATCACTGGTATCCTCTGCTGAGAGTGGCTGTCTGCCTGGAGACCTCTGTCAAGAAGATCTGAACGTAAGTCTAAGATGCCGCAGAATCAAGTAGCAGCTGACCATGGCTTCTTGGTGGCTGCAGAGATACTGATGCACCACCTCCACCTAACTCCAGCAGGAAACCGCCCGGTTATCAGTGGCTGCCGCCCATCGCTGGGTCACCAGGACACACTGTGGGTGTAACTTAACCTGTATTGCCCTTTGCAGCCATGGTTACTTGGTACACTAAGACAATGCAATGAATAATTTATTAGCATCCAAACACTACTCAGACATCAATGCTTTGTAGATTAGTGCTAAATATTTCCTAGTATGTTTCTCCAATACTACCCTTCCCATTTAATTGCACCAACAGTTACATCTGTTTCCATTTCAAATCACTTACAATTTGACAGTGTTTGAAGCATCGCTACCTACAGAACTAACCTCACTATGTGACAACCTGTAATACTAACATATGTGTGTTATTCTCAACTAATTGGAAAGTGAATACATGCAAGCAAATGCATAAATGGTATCCGGTCACACCAAATATTCATTTACCATCTCCTGAAGAGTGTAACACTGGACAGGGACAGCAACAAATGCATGCACTCAATGTGTGCCAAGTGATTTGTATCTGTACTGAAATGTAGTATTGATTACTTCTGATATCCAGCTTAGTGAGCATCTTTTCTAAAATCTGAATAACAAAATTGCTTCTTATTTAAAAGCATGATTCTCTTCTACGGAAATTATTATCAGGCCTGTGGTCTAACAAAGAAAGATCCTGTCAAAATATCACAGTTTTAAGTGTCAGGAAAACAAGAAAACTCTGCATGAATAGAACAAAACATAACTATCCAAAAACCCCAATTGCACAAGCTATTTTTAACCACAAATGTAGTTAAGCACAATATTTACAATGCTTGACATTTTCACAGTAATAAAAAAAGGCCTATTATTTTTTGCCATTATTATGTTAATTGAATTCATCAAGTAGATCTACTTATATTCATTTCATTAGGATCTAGCTTAGAACTGTTAATATCATTAATTCTTACTTCATCCCTCATAGTCAGAATATAGCAATTTATGGACAAAGGCCTTTGTATTCTATCTTATATAAATTCTTTTTTTAATCAAGTTGTCTGCATTTTTAGTTGTAGTGGCAGGACAGAATGCCAGCTCTCAACTGCAACAGCGAGTCACGGTATTGTTAGGATCTTGCATTTCAAGGGTGGCTCTTCTCCATTTATTAAATTCTCCAATGGTTCAGAGGCAGCTCAAACACCACGGGACACCCAGGAAGCTCCTGTCATCACCCACTTCTGAACTACTTCTGGGGCTCTCCTCCCCTTGGGCCCTGAGACACATAATGCGAGTCCTGGGTTTTTCAGTCCAGTGGAGATTTAGTCTGGGTCACAAGGACCCACTCCACAAACATATGGTAGATATTTCTATCAGTTTAGCAAAGCCATTGATGCCTTCTAGCACCCAAAGCAGATCCTGCAGCACAGGTTCTGACTTACTGTAAGTGCACGTGAAGTCTGTAGGCCTGTGAAAAATTATCCACAGAGACAACTTGATTTTACCATCACAGCCTCTGACAATATCACAGAGATGGAGTCTCATTTCTATGGGATGTTAATTCTCAAGTTATATGACGGTCCTTAAACCAGGAAACTTATCAGACAATTTAGATGCACAATTTGCCATAAAAGGGCTTATGCTCCTACTGCAATTTTGCATGTAAATTGGAAAATTGCATTTATAAATAAGCAACTGAGTGAACAGCGGACAGAAACAAAGATTATAATTGTCCTTATTACCTCCAAAGTAAAATAAAATTATTGCCATTAATGTAAGAAGTATTTTTAAAGTGTATGTGACTTCAGTGTAGGGTAAATGTTTGTGAGTAGCAGCAGATCTACAAGTGGAACATACGTATCAACCCATATTCTTCACCTAACTGTCATATACCTCTGATCACACTAATTCCACTAACTAAGATTAATCTCTGCACAAAGCACACAGCTGTCCTCCAACATGCATCCTACACTATTCTCTTGAAATTCTGCAAGATTTCTGCATTCGAACTTCTACAACTGCAGGGAGAACTTTTATGATACTTTCCCAAATACAATACTTTCAACACTAACTGTTCAGCAAGAAAGAGAGAGCAAAAGATTTCCATATTCCAAAAAGATCAGTTTAATCGCATCCTAACCTTTGAGGCAAATAATTTTAAGAATGATATTAAATACTTAAGGTGTATTTCAAAGTAAGTATTTTTGAGCAAGAGAGAATAGCACTAAAGCCTTTCTCCATAACGCCATTTAATAATAAAAAACCCCAATTGCAGCACAGATGTGAGTATAAACATGATCTTGGCAGTAGCAGCAGTCACTGAAGAATCTCCCGAGTGTAGCAGAATCTGTAACCAAGTTATTTCTTTAAGACATAGTGCAAGCCACCTTCTTAGGCTTTACCAGAGGAAACCATTCAAAATTCACTCTGGCGGCACCTGCAAATACATCACGTGCCTAAAAGGAACAATTTGACAAGTAACCACACGGACCGCCACAGTTCAGCATAAGCCATGGACTTACCTGCCGCAGATGCAAGTGTAGGAGGTGTGGCGCATGCCCCCTCGGGCATAGCAGTAGTGCTGGAACAGGCTGCAAAGAAAGAAAGGTGACAATTAATAATATATTCAAAACCACCACAAGACAGGGAGGAAAGCAAGTCTTGCTTGAGTGCAGCTGTGTTGGTGCAAATCTCCAGCTCCCTGAAAAGGCTCTGCCCATTTCTGCTCAGCTGAGCACTCCAATTCCCCACACCCCCGGCCCAGCCGTCCTGCGGAGCATCACGCCATTTCCACAAAGCACATTAAGCAACTGTGTGCAGAGAACAGGGCCTCGAGTACAGCTCAGTAACTTCAACTGTCAAACTGCTTTCCTTAACAACTTAACATAGAAAGGCAAATTACTGTTGGCAAAAGGTAGTTCATCTGATCACAGAATGAATGGGATGATAACAGTTAAGTGCTGAACCTGGCCAGACTCTCCCAAGTGGAGTTGAGAAAACCACTTCTTGCTGCATTTCATGTACACGAACACTTCCAAGATCCTTATTTTCCACCCTGCTGCCTTTGGTCTATGGCATGTAGATTCAGCAGAAGTGAAGTCCAACCAACCCTTCAGAGGGAAGGAGCTGGCCAGACAGAGTAAAGCTGCTCTTCAAAATAATTTCAGCAGAAGCTCTCTCATTTTTACCACTGCACTGAAAGCTGAACCCTCTGCTGAAAGCTGAATTAAATATCCCTACATATGTGTGAAGCCTGAATCACATCTGACCATGAATCTCTTGTGTCTTGTTCTCATGTTCTCTTGTCTGAAGCACAACAGACAAAGAGAAAACATGACTATTCCACTTCAGACTGTGGTATCTAAATACCTCTATGATCTTCCCATACCCAAACATGAGAAAAAACTAACACAGACTCAATCCCAATAGCAGGAAGATAGCGTTAGGCTGAGTCCTCACCAACCTATGAAGAACATTACAACATTGTTTGCTGCTGTGTGTGTGAGGGACAGGGAAGTGAAGGGAGAGCAGCTCCTCTCGTACTGCTGTCCTGTTGGAGGAGCTGTTTGGCCTTCAAAGCATGAAAACATTTTCATCTTTGCTGTTAAAGTCCCCTTCACATGAAGACAGATATGCCCAAAGCACAATTAATAGAGGATTAGGTGCTTTAAGAGCTAAGCACATATCAAGGATCCTTTTATTCTTTTTGAAATATGCTCTTATTACAATCCAATTCCCTTTAATACTGAATGAATTTCAAAAACTCATTTGTTGTAATACTGAAATCATTTCATTAACACACAGTGATAATGGTGCTATTCAAAGAATAGAGATGTTGTGATTTTGTCCTTCTGCAGCAGAAATCCACAGAACACAATTCAAATTCTTTGAAGGATATTAAAGACATTACATGCTTGTAAATCCAAACCAGATTGTAAAATCACCCAAAATGATGGTATTTAAAGAGAAACAACACAAAACATCCAAATTACACAAGGAAAAAGAAAAGCTTACATTTAGAGACTTAGTAGGGAGATCCAGTTTATAAGATCTCTTTTCTGCTCAAAATGTTCTGGTTTTACGAGGTAGAAATACTAATTTTGTATTGCCCCAGAAACCAGTTATGGCAAAGAGTAGGTCAAATGACAGAGAAGATAAGGAGAAACTCTGACACGGTGAGAGCAGAGCAGAGATATCACTAAATCGAGCTCATAAAATTTATAATCTAAACTGTCATTTCCTCTGATGCGGACACTTTTTTCACAGAATGGACATTTCATATGGAGACAAAGTTATAGATCTGCTCCTCCCTAGCATGCCTGCAGGCAAGGTTTACTCTGTAAGACATGACTCCATGTATAAACATTGTGCACAATAATGTATCATACCGTTATATATGTGTAGCTGCGTCTTAGAAACAACTTTTGGTGTATTTTATAGACCTTTCACCTTAAATGACTGAATAAACTATCTCCTCTAGACAGCAACTTTCAGTACCCTTCTAAAGAGCTCTAAAAATGAAATAATGAAGACTGTAAACATCTTCTCATCATCAGTGATGCAGAGATAGCAGGGTTTATTTTTCCATATGACAACTGATCTCATATTCATGGTTGCAATTTATATGAAACTGTGCAGCCGAATAATAGTATTCACCTTTTGCAGTACTCCCCGATTCACAGTAAAAAGTGGTAAATAAATTAAGACATGCTCCGTATAATCCAGCTGTTGCCTGAACTTTGTTTCTGTTTTCAAAAAAAAGCAATCTGATTGTTTTATCAAACATTACAGACTTTCGTTGAAGAGTAACTAACAAGTGGCAGTTTATGCGACTGAGCTGAAGCCAGCACAACTGGCCAGGTAATGAGTTTTCTGCTAGTAGAACTACTCATACCACTTCTTTGAATTTACTTTTTCAGACTGTGACTCATTAGAAACAAGTTTATGCAGTCTGAAAAAAAAAATCCAACGTTTCTATCAGAGACAGCCAACATCCTTGTATAATGTGTCTTATCTAAGGGAAGGATTGCATATCCCTGCCACGGCAAATGCTGGCTTTTCAAAGCTGAAAAATGTATTTATAGAATTAGAGAAGCTGCCAGTACTTTGTAGTTAAAATCCTGGTTCCGCTGAAGTTAATGTAGGTTCTGCCACTAGACTTCTTCACACCAGGATTTCAGTGTCTACACTGCAAGAATCCTTATCCAAAAGCGTGATATAGAAGTATAAGGTCTGAAGTAGTTGGATGGAACATAATTTAATCTGGCACTCAACATATATTGCAAATATCGTATAATTAACTTTGCCTGGTCTTTCTGATTGGAGGATATGTGTGTTTAGGAAGTTTTATGTTGGTGCTCAATGCTTTGCCCTGAGCTTTTAATGAGACCAATAGAGATATAAAAGTTAAGCACCTTTTTCTCTGCTCCTTCTTTTGTGGGTTTCATAGCCTTCTGTCATGTTTTATGCAGTATTTCCCTGGAGGGTGTACGTATTACTTACCATGCACATACTGCCTTGGTGGTATATACAGATTAGCCATTGGTGTATTTGCATGTCAGATGTTACCTTTTAACCGTATACAGCTTTGTTTGAGCTGGCATGGGGTTTGCTTTGCTTTTGAAAGAACCATTTTTAATTTTTTTTTCAAATGTAGAGGTACATCCTGGGTTTGGTGCTTTTTCTTTTTGCCAAAAACACCAGCTTCTTTAAGTGATTGAGAATATGTGGAGAATGAAGGTAGTTTAGAAAACCTCACTATTTTTTCCATTAACTTAAAAAAGAGGAAGCACTGGCTGTCATAAACTCAAATAAACCTGACATGAGAGCACTTGAAAATTTGCTGAGGCACAAGATGGTGTTACCACCACTGCTCTACCTTACTGACTAAACTGACTTGAGAGAGAAGAAAACTCCGCTTTCAGAAATAATGGATTCTTCATCACTAGAAATAACACAAAAAGTATATACTTTTTATTTTTGAGACGTTATGGAGTATTGCATACATCCAAACAAAACTCCAGAATGCTTAAAAAGCCATTAAAGTAAATCCTGCTATGAACAGGCTTTCTGGCAAATTATAAGAACCCCTCTGACAATGATGCTTGTTTTATGATCGTCTCTTGTCCAGTTTCTACTGCTATCTAATGCACACTGACAATTACAATCAGATCCATGCTATGAATGTAAACTGAATCAAATAGAGCAGTTAAATGTTAATAGTTTTCCTAACTTAAATGGATTTATGGAATAAAGCCACTTAAAGCAGGAAGGATAGAAACTGTCTATAATGACTTCCCTCACACCTTTTACTTATTTTCAGATCTTCCTCATCACTAGAATACAACATAACCATACAGACTCAGCAGAGGGATTTTTATTTCCCTAAAGAAGTAAACAAGTAATCTCTAATTGGAATTCTTGTCATCAGCTCTTCTTGAGTTATAATAAATATTTGTAAGAAAACTGCATTTATATTTCTCAGCTATTCACTCCTGAAAGCAAGACACTTCTAGATCAAAAAGGTTCAATTTCTAAATAAAAACCTAATTAAGTATTTTGGCCTATGTCTTACAAAACAGGTAAAAACCTGTAATTACAGAAAATGTAGTAAGTATGGAGAAAAGAAAGATAATCTTCTGCCGGTCTCTCCATGCCAGTCCCACATCCTAACTACAGCACAGTGCTGCAGAACAAGATGTGCACATCACTTTCGGATGGAGGAACAAACACTCATCCCAAGGTTTCCAATGAAGGAGGACCAAAACCACTGAATAACCCTGCTCATTATTCCCAGATCCTGGAGCCACCTCAAGAACGCATGCTGCATACTGGTAGCTCAGGAACCTGATTTTTATATTGAGTATCACAGAGATCTGCTGTCAGAAATGCATCTAGCCTTCTGAAGCCTACAATGTAGGGGAGTCAAGGACATTCATGGGTCAATATCTCATTAAGGTGTTTATATTTAAAAGATATTCATATAAAAAATGTTCACACTGGATCACTCACTGTTTTGAGGATGTTTCAGATCCACAATAATTTCCTCAGTGCACCTTTGAGAAAGTTGCCTCCTAATAAAAAGAAATCTTTACACACTTCAAAAACAGTGTTCTTTGAACACAGCCCTTGAGACTTGCCTTGAAATGCAAGCAGGTGGTTTTGAACTATAAATTGGAAACCACAGCAGCTTAAGGGAGCTCTGCACAGGACTGGGAGGATTTTCTGTAGATTCTTTTCTTTTTATGAGTACAGTTGGAAGATGTAGTTGAATATCTATTAGTTATGTGTGCACCAAATTACTTTTGAATTACTACTAGAATGTGCCCTTATCCTTTTATATGGTGTAAATATCAAGCGTAACCATGAGACAGGCTAAAACCCAAAGCTTTTTTTAAAGAATTTGCAAAAGCCAAATTGTACACAGCTGATCTCTCTATTCATATCAGTCTATTCAGGACTGAAAAGCCACTGTTTTGATCATTTAGACACATAACTATCTTCACATGAGAAAACTATAAAGCCCAAGTAACACAAAATTGTTAACACACAGTAAATAAAATTTGTGCATGATATCCAGAGTATTTTTATG